CATCATACACATCAGCTATATCCGAAGACACACCCATGTGCCATTCCCAACACAACCTCAAGTCCACTTGGATAAAGAGTTTCAAAGTTTGGAAAATTTCTTCACTAATGGTATCCCTCAGTAAGTCTGAGCCAGCCAAGTGGCAAACATAAATTATTAACAACATAACTAAACACATCTGTGACTTTATTGACCCCAATGTATATATTTTATCTACATTTTTTTCCTCAATCGGTTGAAAAGTAAGTTTTACCATTTCATAAACTCTACAAAGTAGAGAGTTTTCTGAATAGGAAATAGATATAACTGAAGGAGAACTTGGCTTTAAACTATATTTAGCTATGAACCAGGCAACAGGTATTAAAACGTTTTCTAACGTCATCCATGGCTTCCCTGCTCTAACTGTTACTAAGCCAACACTAATGGCTGTGGGAAAACAGCGTGTGTGTGTGTGTGTGTGTGTATAAAGTAAATATACATATATGTTTTTTACCAATACCTTCTGCCAGTTGCCTAAAGAAAAACATCATAGTCAACTTGCCATGAACTTAAAGTGTGTCAGAAGTAAAGGAAATAAAGTAGAGGAAATAAAGAAACACCAAAACAAGCAATTTGTTTGAAGTTCATATTAAATTTAGAAATACTGATTCTCTAGATGTGATAAAGAGATATTAAGGCCCCCACCCAGATGAATTTTTGGAATATTAACATATTTGAACATACATCTCTAGGTCAGCTATTGTAATACATGTTTCCTCTTAAATTGTTTTTAAAAAATTATTCTTTCTGCACATTTGTTTGTAAAACACACTCCCTTTTCATTGTTTTTATCACAGGAAGTTTTTTGGTTTTTGTTTTTTGTTTTTGAGACAGAATCTCGCTCTGTCGCCCAGGCTGGAGTGCTGTGGCGGGATCTCCGCTCACTGCAAGCTCCGCCTCCTGGGTTCCCGCCATTCTTCTGCCTCAGCCTCCTGAGCAGCTGGGACTACAGGCGCCCGCCACCATGTTCCGGCTAAGTTTTTATATTTTTAGTAGAGACGGGGTTTCACCGTGCTAGCCAGGATGGTCTCGATCTCCTGACCTCGTGATCTGCCGGTCTCGGCCTCCCAAAGTGCTGGGATTACAGGCGCAAGCCACCGCGCCCAGGCAATCACAGGAAGTAAAGTTTAATATGTGCATAATAAATGTGAGACACATCCCTCTCCATTCCCCTCACCCGTGGCAGACATAGCTAATCAATCATGGCATCCTTTGCTGCTGAAGAACCCTGACTTTTTAGACTTCGGGAATCCATTACCCATCAGCTGCTGCTGGCATTCAGGTTGAAGACTATTTCCCAACCTTGGTATAAGAGCATGTTCATTGTCCCTATTTATTAGCTAAAATATCTTAGGAAGAGCTTTCAACCTATTCTGCTGCCCTCAGAGGACTGTTACACAATCAAAAGATTTAATTCACGTGAACATATTTTATAATCCACACCGTTCCAATCACACATTGTCTGAAGGAATCCGATTAATTTTTTTGTAACGTGAACAATAATATCTCCGCAGTTGATCTCTTCCTTGGCTCTCCCCACATACATTTATTTTATCTATTTTGAAAATGTGGATTTTTTTATTTTTGGTTTTATTAAAACTGTGCACACCTGTATTCCTTTTGAATGTGCTATCTGATACTAACTAGAAGAAAATATGGCTGGAGAAGGAGAAAGCTCAAAATATCACACCTGGCTCATCATTATGGTGTTCTGGCAGTCTTTTCTGCACGGCTGGAAGCTGTGTGATTAATAGCCCCTCGTCCCAATTATATGGATATTATACTTGTCTTCCTTTGGCTGTAGATTGGAGATATCTTATGTATGTGTGATGCAAATGTGGGCTTTGTGAATGCTAATTTCAAAATCAGCCAGGAGTTGATTGGCAGAAAACCGAACAACAGGGTGACAGGCTTGCCAGGGTTCAGGAATCTGTGAAAGAAAGGCTGACTGAGGGTGGAGAAAAAGAGCTGGAGAGATTTGGAGTTAATCAAGAGCAGTGGCTGAGAAAGCAGCAGTTTATGAAAGCAGATCTAAGTCAGATATCCTGGAAGAGAGGGCAGTTTCAAAGACTTGGATGAAAACAGTGAGAAGAGAAAGAGTTCAGCTGACTTTACAAAACTGCATGGAGCTAAGAAGCCAAGATTGTGCCTTAAACTGCATAAGCCATATTCTTTGTCTACCATATCCCCCACATGTGCCTGTTTGCACCTGGTTTGTACTCTGGAGAACTTTGCTGTATATTTGACTGCGACATCCTCAAGGTCAGAGGTCCTGACACCTGTGCTTCTCTAGATGCCAGAAGGAGACAAGCACTCAGGAAGTTTACAGTAGACTGATTTAATGGGACATTTGATTGTCAAGGAGATGATCTGGGTAACAGAAAAGGGGAGGGACAGAGATTTAAGACACTATTTCATCAATTAATCATTACATCAGTGATCAGAATGAAGATAGGAAATGTTGTTTGCAGAGCAAGTTGTTAAAGATAAGCCCTTTTTCGTTTGCATTATAAAACTCAAGTTCAAATTTGCTAAGTTTTCTGTATAGCAGATGCATTCAACCCAAGGCTGGCTAGACAATAGCAAGCTCAAAAGTAGAAAATGTATTGAAACTTCTCCAAGTAATGGCTTAGCTGTGCAGTTGCTAACTCTGGTGTTTCACAGCCAACACTGCAAAAGTAGTGCACCCCTGGAAAGAAGAACAGGTGGAAAGTGTAGAGGTAGAGATGTCACATCCTAGGGTGGTTTACTCAAACTATTCCTTCACTCCACTGGAGGGAATGCAGACAGGAGAAACAAGAGCCAGTAGCATGAAATATTGGTCACATCTGTTCTTAGGGATAACTCATCCATCTTCTTTGCACTCTAGCCACCTTGCTGTTACAGATGGTTTTTACTTAAGGAAAATTATTTTTTCTTTGGGTATGTATGTCAACTTCAACATATGCCCCCATGTCCAAACGTATTTCTTTTAGCACATTACCTATGTGTCAGCATTTTATGTGGCATTTAATAAATCTGTGAATCTTGTTTACACACACATACACACACACAAACTAATTCAAATAACTCTCTAAATAGTCATACATAAATATCGATGTACATAAACTGTATCTTCACTTCATCCTTAAAATATAGGTGGAAGTTTTCCCAAATTTTGTGGGTCCAGTAAAGATAGGCAGTTCTACAGAAGGAACATTTTGTTTTAAACCTCCTTTTAACACATATATAAAGATATTTTATCTGACCCCAAATCACAGATATATTTCACTTTTCTCATGTGATAATGGTTACTTGATTTAAATGGATTTTAAAGAATGAAATGGCTACTTCCATCCTATCAAATCTAACTTATTTCTACTTCAGGATAAGTAAAATAAGCACTTTTAGATTTAAAACTATTACAGAAGAGTTTGTTAATTGGAAGGAGTGTCTATGATTGAACATATTCAAGGGTTATTACTTAGTGCTTTAGCAAAGAACATAATTCCAATGTTCTGGACGTCATTTATCCTGATTTCCAAATAAACAGCCCTTCCTCTTTCATGTCCATTCTGTGATTGGGTGGGACTGTGTGACCAATTCTGCACAATGAACTGTGAACAATGAGCCTCTCCTTCCAAGCAGAAGCATGTGTCTGCCTATGTAGACCCTCCGCAGCTATTATTGCTCTCTGGCACGGCACGGCAACACATGATGATGGAGATACTGGCTACTCAACTAGCCTTGTTTCCTTAGTGACAGTGATCCATGGAGCCTCCTGCTGACACACAAGAAGAAATCTTTATGGCTTTTATTTACAGAGAATTTGGAAGTGTTTACTAACATAGCATACTTAGCTTCCTTAGTCTATCACAACGCACACACACACACACTCCATTAAAAATATAACAAGGATATATTAGTTATATCATCTAACACCCACACACTCACATAGTTTTTTAATGCCAGAAGAATTTGGTTTCTCTGAATTGTATGCCACTCTACCCAGAAACTATTATTCATTGTTATCCAAGAACTGTGAGTCAATATCATTTCCAAAATAATTCACTAAAGAGGTAAAAAGCAGATTCTACTTGCATCATTTGTTGCTAACAATTTTAATACTATGCACATCAACTGCACATCCGCATGAATCTAAGAAAAATATATGCAGTTCTACATTTAAGATCTGTAATGAATAAATGGATTCATGTGTCATAAAATTGCCCTAGGTTTATAAATCTCATGATATTTTGCAGTTGGCCTTCTTGAGAAAGAGGTGTTTTAATTTATCTCTTTGTCATAGTAATACAATGTTAAATCATGTATTTTATATAAAATAGGCATATGTTGTACACATAAGTTATTTGTAAGTCCTACTGCCTCCTGGTGGAAGGATGGTTTTTTATTGGCACAGTACTATGAAACATGGAGGTATGAATATCTTAGAAGTAGAACCTGTAGAAAATGTGAATTTTTTCTGGGAAAAAAGTGGGAGATTAAAGGTGATGGATGGTGCCTGGGAGAAATCTACGAAGGAAGAAGGAGATAGGGCAAATGGAAAAGAGAAATCCCAGGGCTAGCAGCACAGCCAAAAGAAGCACTAGAAGAGAAAACAATTATTGAAATCTTATAATTTTGAGTATTGTAGAATGTTATGAAAAAATCGCTGATCATCCCTTCAGAATCCCTGGAAAAGTCTACCAAAAGTCAAGTAATCATATCTTGACTGATTGGATTTCCTAGGTAAAATGCTGATGATAACAAAGGGTATTTACTAATTGCTGAAGAAAATCAGCACATTAAGTCCAGGGGATGCTTTGCTTTAACCTGACAATTTCCTGTTAAAAGTCGCATTAATGAGGAAAAAGCAAAAAGGCCACCCTTTATCCACAGATTCCATTTGTGTGCACTCAGTTTGCACAGAAATAAAACAACCCCAGAGGCACTAGAAGGAGCGGTTGGCTGTCAACACTTACTGCGAGGACAATCTGGAGGGAACTATGAGCCACTTCTATGTACTGGTACTCCAGCAAACACCCTGAGACCGTGATGTAGCGATGGTCTTCTGGGGCCCAGTCTGGGGCGGGTGTCACTGACGTCACCGTACATCCTGGTCCATTCTCCATCCACCAAGATCGGTGCATTGATATATTAAAAGTCAGGATAAGGTCTGTTTCCTGCAAGAAGGCAATTTATAAGGATGAGAATTACTTTATAAATGTTAGTCAGCTTACTTGGGATTGACTTGCTTTGACTTGCCCATTTGGAAATGTGGGTTTGTTTGCTTGTTTTCCTCCCCCATACTGTATTTTACAGAAAGCAAGGACACAGCTAAAGTAATTATGCATCTGTGGATTCATCCTATTTATGAAGCTTTTTCCTGACTATCATAATATAGATCAAATTATTTTATTAGAGAAATTCCTAGTGATTTACATTACTAATGATTTACATTCATTATAACACTGAAGAGTCTTTACCTTTCAAGACTTGCATATATTACAAAGAGAATGATTTAAATTTTTATCAAGTGAAGTTCATGCTATTCTAAATCTGCTTTATTTTTTTCTCTCAAAATATTTACTTTTCACACATTTTAAATCTTAAAGCTATACTTCAATTCTGCAACATTTAACATAATATTGTGGCTAATGCTTGAATTTATAAGACCCTTACTTAAGAAAACATAAGATTACTTGCTTTTACTCCCTTCCTATTATTTGGGCAAATTAGTGTCTGTCCAATCTTACCAATTTTTGTGAAATTGGTCATAATATTTCTTAAGAATTAAGAAGTAAATTTTTTTAGGAAATATTATTATCAAATTCTTGCAGGGTGGAGATAATAAATCAACTATTTAGATGAAGTTCTAAACATGTTAGGTGATACACAGCTATAAATGGAATAAAATGGAATAAAAGTAGAGTTTTGCACTCAGAGAGCTTGCAATCACCTATGCCAACGTGGAGCTATCAATGGCACATGGGCAAATGTTGTCTTCTGGGGAAAGAACGGCTAAAGGAAATGCATCAAAGCATTTTATTATTCAGCAAGTCATGAAGAAAGATAAATTCTAAGAAAAAAAGTTCAGTTATGGGAAATTGCACTATATCAGTTTCAGTGATAGTTACGGCCACAATAGGTGCCAACTACTCACTCCAAAGTGAGGTTCTGATGGACTAGGCAGACCCTGTATAGATAATGTCTTAAGTCATCGTTTGTGACATGGAGCCACACACTCACATTGAACATATGGAAGGGTTGAGTTGAAATGGTCAGGGAATTTGGAGATTACAAGTGGAACTTCTTTGGAAAAAGGTGTGCTACGAGTGTCATCAACTCCATGGTGGTGGTTGGGTGGGGTGCGGGTGATCTCTCTTTTTTTGCAAGCCTGTTGAGAAAAGCTTCAAAGTATCTTTGGAACCCAGGAAACACAGCAGCTAGTGTCTGACTCAGGCCTGACAAATCTCAAAATAGAGCCTGTGGCTAGAGTTACCTGCTAAGTGGTCATACAAAAATTAGGCAATATGTGAAAGGAAAGTGCACTGCTACATATCATGGATCTAAAGTAACAGTTCTTGGTAGCAGATGTGAGCTGTCATGAGAGAGAGCTAACATGGGTTTTCTTCCGAGGATTTCCAAGAAGACCAGTGGGTAGGGGGGTAATGGCTGAATCTTGACCATCACCTATTCTTAGGGCATGAGGGAGGGAGTGTTAAAATATGGTAAGTATGGAAGAGACACCAACTAAATCATGTACCTACAGATGAGATATTTAATGCAATTGGGACTCTGAAAACCCCAGAAAAGTGTCTTGAGACACCTCTCAATTTCATTAGCCACCAAACTCTGTTAGTACCTAGATATCTCTCTTGCTCCCTTATGTCCTCTCCATTGTTATACTCCAAGCATAGTGGGGTCTGAGATCTCAGATAATAGTTGTGAGACACGGATGGGGTTAGTTAGTAAGAACCAAAGTGAAACATGAAGCATACAACTTTTCCCTACAGGAAGGAAGAAGTTTAATTTTGAATACAATTTGGATTTTTTATTACAATGTCAGACATATTAATTTCTGAACAGAGAATTCTTTGGAAACTATAGTGACTTTGGATAACTTTTTATTATCTGGAATGACCACAAAAGTAGGAGATCTCCTATTTATTTTATCCAATGGTAACAGAAGAATCAGGTCCATGGGGAACCCTGCAGGGGAAATCATGAGAAAGGAATGTTTTTTATGTTATTTTTCTCAGAATCATGATCATTTAATGTTTGGTTACCAAAGCAAACTGGATAAATCCCCAGGACCTAAGAGAAAAAAGAAAAGCTTTCAAAAAGGCAACCAACAAGAGACTAAACCGTGGGGGCAGCCAGGCTTGCACACCCCAGCAAGAACACAATCCAGTTCCCTAATTCCTGGTGATATCTAATACACATAGCTCAAGGTCTCGGTAAACCTCCCTCTCTCACAGGAAGTCAAGACCAACTATGAGATTCCATGTGAAACAATGGTAAGGAGGATTTTCTGAGACTTAGAACCTGGTTATTTGCATTATTGCTCCTCATCGGTTGAAGCAAAATTGTTTATCATACAAAGCGAGATGATTCAATAATCAACTATGCATGGGTTTATAGGGGGTAATCATAATTACAAACAGGAACTAGAGCCCAAAGCAGTGACAGTGAAAACATGCTTGTGAACTATTAGACATAGAAGTGATTCAGATAGGTAACTATGCCATTATGCCCAGGACTGTCATGCATTTTGCAATGAAAGTCACTTGTCCTTGGAAGTCCCTTAGTCCCAGCACACCAGGACAGTTAGTAACCATAGCTGCAGAGACAAGTTTTTAAAAAGCATTGATGTAAGTTGAGTTTGTTGGCCATTAGAGCTATGGTGTCAGAAGTGATCATTTATTTACTAATTATTTATATCCTAACTACTGCCAAAAAAAGAGTCTTGTCATAATAAAGCAAACATATACCATTAAAACAAGGGTAAAAAATAAGAGCCAAAAAAATGGAGACGATAGCTAGTGAGCCAGGAAACCAAGACATGAGTAAGTGCCTCACTTGGATACTCAATTCAGAACTGACTTGTTGGTAATAATGGAGACACAATGGGAACACAGCTATCATTATCTAAAAGAATGAAGAATACCATTGCCCCAAAAAAGACAATCTTTTCTTTCCTAATACTGATTTCTTAAGAGAAATTAACAATTGTATAAATATTTTTATACAAAATATTTATAATATACGGGATGGTATCTTTAGTTGATTTTTCTTCCATAATTTCAAGAATACTGGCAGAGAATTATGCTGGATTTAACAGACATCTGAACTATCTTTAGTTCCTCTTTCTAATACAGTAACCATATTAGTTTGCTAGGACTGCCATAACAGAGTATCACAAATAGGGGAGCTTAAGAAGAAACTTATTTTCTCACAGTTCTAGAGGCCAAAATTCTAAGATCCCGGTGTAAGTAAGGTTCTTTCAAAGGGCTTTTTGTGAAGAAGAATCCATTGCATGCCTCTGATGGTGTGCTGGTAATATTTGGCATTCTGTGGCTTGTAGAAGCATCACCCTAATCTCTGCTTTCATTTCACATGGCAACTTCCCTGGGTGCCAAGCTGTATCCAAATTTCCTTTTTTAAAAAAATAAGGACCCCAGTTGTATTGGCCTAGAGCCCACTTTAATGACCTCATTAAGTAGTTACATCTGAAATGATCCTATATCCACATGAAGTCACATTCTGAGGTACTGGGGGTTAGGCCATAAGCATGAGTTTAGGGGAGTGGGCACAATCCAACTGGTAACACTGAACTCTAATTTCTCTCTCTCTTTTTCATTTTATTTTTTGTTTCTCTAGAGGGTCAGTTCTGTTTTTTTTTCTTTTTTTAAATTTATTTACTTTTTTGGTATTTTCTCTTTTAATTTATGTTTGAGATTTCTAAAGATCATTTGAACCTATTGTCTGGATGACAAGTAAAATATTTTATTACTTCATACATTTATTTATGTGCTTTCTATATTATTTATTATTTAGAAAATCAATTAGCTACATATATTTTTAATAATTACATTTACCATAAAGTTATAGCCAAAAATAGCATTTCTTGTCCACAATCCTTTCCATTTCATAGTACCCTATTGAAAGGCAACCACTTTCATTTTTTATAACTGTTACTTTTAAGTATTTACTTTTGTTTTGTAAACATCATGCTCATATTGACATTATTCGTTTATCATGTAAGTATTATCTCCTATTTCTAGTATGAAATGTATGAAGTAATATTTTTAGAAATATTCCCTTTCTATTTCCCACCATTCTGTATAATTTCTCTAAAATTTGGTTGTATGAATATTGCAAAATTTGCATTTCCCTGATGACATATGATGTTGAGACTATTTTCATATCCTTATTTGCCATCTGTTTATTTTCTATAGTGAGATGTCTGCTAAGATCTTTGGCCCATTTTTAAATTTGGTTGTTTGCTTTTTATCATTGAGTTTTAAGAGTTCTTTGCCTATTTTAGGCTTAAAAAGATAAAAATTACATTGTTAAAAATATAGATTAAAATATCATATATGGTAGTCTTTTATCATATATGTCTTTTGCAATATTTTCTACCAGTCTATGGCTTGTCTTTTCATTCTTTTGATAATACCTTTCAGAGAGAAGTTTTTAAATTTTAACGGAGGACAGCTTGTTAATGCTTTTTTCCATGGATCATGCCTTTGGTGTCTTATTTCAAAAGTCATTGCCAAATCCAAGTTCATCTAGATTTTCTCCTGTGTCATTTTCTAGGAGCTTTATAGTTTTGCGTTTTACATTTAGGTCTTTGATCCATTTTTAGTAAATTTTTGTCACAGACACAAGGTTTGTGTCTAGATTTTTTTTTTTTTTTTGCATGTGGATGTGCAATTATTCCAGCACCATTTATTGAAAAGACTATCTGTGTTTCCCTTTGTATTACCTTTCCTCTTTTGCATAAAACAGTTGACCATATTTGTGTGGGTGGACTTTTAGGTTCTCTATTCTATTCCATTGATCTATTTGTCTCTTCTTTTGCCAATATCACACTGTTTTGATTACTGTAACTTTATATTGACTCTTGAGGTCAGGTGTTATTGGTCCTCAGATTTTACCCCTTTCCTTCAATATAGTT